TCTACCAATAGTTCTGTTCCTAAAGCTTTTTTTATCTTACTATTCTATACACACAGTGAGTTTCTAAAAGTTCCCTAGAGAGTGTTTCTATTGCTAATATTTTATTCAATGGTTCAGACTTAATATCTAAATTATAAGCAAAAAAACAAGATATAAAACAGTGGGTAGCACTTGTATCAATCAAGGCTCGCACAGTGGTATTGTGAATTTAGGGTGTGGCAGGAGTGGTAAGAGCACCAGGCTCATCAAGGTGGTAGACACGTCTTTGGGCAACTGGTGCCCACGTCCTTGGGCCTTTGATGGCAATCCTTCATAAAATACTGAGTGCTCCCACACTTATAGCAGAAGTTGTTCAAACGTCATTCAGACTGATCATCGTGAAAGCATCCACAATGCTGGCATGATGGGTAGGTCTAGTAGGGTTTCTAATGAGTGGGGGTAGGGCAGGAGCAGGGGCAACACAGGGTCTCTTGTCAAGATGATCATTGCCAAGGTCTAGCAACCTTCTCCTCCGTTGTTGTGGCCAACACTACTGCTATTGGGTGCGGATTTGAGTGACGCATTGGTGTCAGGCAAAGATGAGATATTTAGCAAACTGAGCATGTTGAAGCACCTTGGCATACGAGTTGGGCCTCAGTATTGGTACTCGATCGTAGATATCTACATGGAAACCCTTCAACTTACAACTTTTTGGGTAACCATCACAAGGGCAAACCTATACAACTAAGTGAACTAGGTGGCATACTGGTTAAAAATCATGTTCCAATGGCGGAGGTCCTGAAATTCCTCCTCCTTCTTCTCTCGAACATACGTATTGAAAAAGTTCTCACAGAAGGCATGCATAAAAACTTCCAAGGTAGTGGGTGAGGGTATGACATCTTTCTTAAGTCGCCATTAGTATTCGGCTTCACCGATCAGCATAAAGGCAGTAAGGGGGACCTTATGTTCTTCGGTTATGTTTAAAACGGAGAAACGTTTTTCTATTTATAGAATCCGAACTTCTGCGGCCAAGGGGTCAAGTCCTCCTTCAAAGTGACGTGGGTTCAATCTCCTAAATTCGACAATGTTATGGAAGATGGAGTGGTCAGCAAGGCGATAGTCTTTGGCTAGGGGATGTTGGCACTGATTGTTTTGGTTTTATCATATGGCTGCAATTAGGCCTTGAATTACTCGGAAGAGTTCGGTAAATTCTACCCTGGTCGATGAGTCCTGAGCCTCAGGTCTCTCAATTCTTTCTACTGATAATCTCCCTTGAGTCATTGGTCCTACAAATGAAAAGGGAAACAATGAGTTGGTGGACTAGTTTCAAGAAAGGAAATCTCATAAGTTCTCTAGGGTGGTTTCCTAGACTATAGACTCAGTGTAAGGGATTATTCTGCATAACTGTTATGATATTATTTATGACATCCCTTATATTAAATATAATATAAAGAAGCCAAATATAGAAACAGATTATGAGTGCATCAAGATAAATTATATGTAGCAGAATAAATATTACAATTCCTTACAAAATATAAAATTTGAGTTCCAAACCTTATAATACTGAGGCCAAAGTTTGGCAAAATAATAACTATAAGTCTCTTCAAAATAGACTCATTAAATTGCAAAACAAAACATATGCTCATAACAGTTCATGGATCCATGGGATCCTCAAAGGCTTCAATGGGTAAATCAACAAGCGGTTCTTCACTATCATCCTCATTTGAGGGAGACATGGAAATGGGTAAGTTCTATAAACTCAATAAGGAAAATAGCATTTAAACAACATTTTTAAGAGCTTAAAGGTGCTTAAACTTTAAAGAAATATACCATAAACCACGTACCATTAATGATCATCGTAAGTTCATTTCAATATTAAAAAAACCATCTTTATTTTTTTTAAAAAAAGAAATGTCAACATCAAGGCAATCATATCATGCATAGAATAGAAAAAATAAAACGAATATAAATCATATCATGATGTCTTTTTTTTTATCTTTTATCTATTCTTCACACAAAATTATTCTGACTTATATCTAGTGAGGACAATACGGATTATCATATGCCACTGTAGAAAGACAAGTTTATTTCACTTTTTAGTATATTTACAGCTTGCTAAACTACAACACATTTACAGCTTGCCAAACCATGACACGTTCTACGACTATAGTTGTGTAAACTATAGTGGTCTTACATGTAAACTATAGTCACGATCGTACGTCACCACAGTGACCAGTACAATTATATCGCGTAACCGCTCTTGTTAGAGGATATGTCATCATTCATAGAGAACGATCATCTCACATCTTTTTAGACCAAATGGGAGGAGAGAAATAAAAATCCTTAGAGATAAAAGACTAACAAATCATGTTAATTTAAAATATCACGCAATAATATTTCGATGATCATTTCTCAAAATATTCATGTTTTTTACATATTATCCATGCTTCTTGAGTAAAATCATAACATCTCATGCATTACATCACATATCATCATACTCGTATCATGTAATAAAATTTTAAATGTAAATAAGTTTACTTAACCATACAAGTACTACTCTTCATTTCTCATAAGATATTTAAATAAAGCTTTAACAATTACTAAACATACACATGCCATTTCTTATTTAATCAAATGATATTTTATTTTATTATTCTAGAAATACTCCTTAAAATGTACTAGAAAATACCAAAATCTTCCTTACTGAAAATTTATTGATTTTTTACATTCCTTTTCTTTTTTCTTTCATTTCTCTCTATAGCTCTCTCCTTTTCTCCTCTCTAGAAAGCTTTTAAATGAAGTAAAATGAAGATGGTGTATGAAGAAGTGGTGGGGAAGGGCCCTTATTTATAGATTAAATGGGTCATTGGATTTATGCCCAAAGGCATGAATCCGTGAGGAGAGAGAGAAGGAAAGGTTGACCGATGTGACATGACGACTAACGGACGTGATTGACAAACGACTGACGAGATGACGATGACATGATGATCGGCACGAAGGTCGTGGGCACACTGACCACGCTGGCCGAATGACAGTGCATGCCCCTCAAAGGGTGGCGCACACTGCCTAAGGAGTGGCTCGCACTACCCAAGGCCTGTCGCATGCGTTGGCCGAGGCATTTCT